ATTTGCCAGTTCTCCGAACTGCTCAAAATTTCCACTACCGGTTCTCCAGAACCTGTCAGAACCTGCTGGATTTCACCCCTGGTTCTCAGTCGCCACACAGTATGGGGCGGGGGGAGGCTGGAATGCACTGCCAGACACAACACCGCTCTATTTTGTGGGAACCAAGGTCACCTCCACAGGTGCCGGATGAAAACAGAGAGGAGTGCCTAGGGAGCCCACCAATAAACCTAATTGGACAATGTGACCTGTGACCCTCAGGGAGGGGATAATTTATTAATTTAACTGTACTGAAACCGCCAGGGAAATATTCAGAGTTGGTTTTGCATGTAATGGTGCCAATATGATGTGCCCAATGAAGAAATTATTTGAGAGAGATCGGAATCTCGGAATTCTGATAGGAACATTGCCTTAAGTGTTTGTTAGAGGTTATAACTTAAAAACATATTTGGGATACATTCTATCTATCTATCTATCTATCTATCTATCTATCTATCTATCTATCTATGGACACGGTGGCTCAGTAGCTAAGCTTGTCGATCAAAAGGTTAATCTGTTAATGTTAATGTATATATCACCCCGGCTCCATACAATCCAGTAGTGGGTTTCAATTTAGTTTGCTACCAGTTTGTTCGTGCATGTGTGTGTGGGTAATGCTTCTGCGCATGCGCAGAATTGTCCAGGTGGGTGGGCGGAGCCTCCTGCCACCGCTGCTACCGGTTCGCCCGATCCAGGGAGAACCAGTAGCAACCCACCACTGATACAATTTCCCCCCTTCCAGTTTCCCACAGTAGTAAATGGGACATGTTTGAAGGCCTAGTGCAAAAGATGGATTCCAGGCCTGACCACACATTTTCCTGGAAGAAGAGATATGACCCTCTCTCTGGAAAGAGAGAGTGGGAAAAGAAACCCCCAAAGAATAGCCATGAATGTTCAGTAAATTAACTGTGACATGAGCATATTGAATTAGGTTGCAAAGATGGCAGCTGTTTCTTGTAAACCAGATGGCCCTCTTTTTGTTAGCTCTGCGGCAGCTGAGGGAAATGAAATAATATCAGTGTTCATTGATCAGCTCATCGCTTCCTGTTACGTGGCCTTTCCAAAGGGCCTCCGCAATACAGCTGTTGCAACCCGCCTGGTTAAATTCTTTGTTCTACGTTGAATATAGCTCAGGAAGTTTGCTAAACTCTTGGCATTCAACATGTGCATGTTTTTGTTTTTAATCCTGCTTTCCTCCCGCTCCCCGCCTTTGAAAGGATAAAGATAAACATAAAGGTTCCCCTCGCACATTTGAAAGGATAGATGCATCTTATTCTCCATCAACAACTCTCTCTCTTCTTGAAACAAAAGGTGAAGGTAAAGGTTCCCCTTGCACATATGTGCTAGTCGTTCCTGACTCTAGGGGGCGGTGCTCATCTCTGTTTCAAAGCCAAAGAGCCAGCGCTGTGTGAAGACTTCTCCGTGGTCATGTGGCTGGCATGACTCAACACCAAAGGCGCACGGAACACTGTTCCCTTCCCACCAAAGGTGGTCCCTATTTTTCTACTTGCATTTTTTACGTGCTTTTGAACTGCTAGGTTGGCAGAAGCTGGGACAAGTAATGGGAGCTCACCCCATTACGCGGCACTCGGGATTTGAACCACTGATCTGCCGACCTGAGCTTGTTTCGATCAACAAGCTCAGCATCTTAGCCACTGAATCACCGTGTAAAGGATAGATGCATCTTATTTTCCATCAACAACTCTCCCTCTTATTAAAATAATATTTAAAAAAAAATAATTACAATTGCCAGATAAAGCAGTATAGAAATGTATCAATAGAAGAGAATATTTGTAGCTTGGTGTTGAATGGTGGGGTCCTTGGTGTTCTTTGTTGTTTCCTTGCAGACATTTTATTACCCAACTAAGTAACATCATCAGTGCTAGAAAGGGCTAGCATTTCTAGCACTGATGATCTTACTAGTCAGGTAATTTTTCCAGCAAGGAAAGACCAAAGCTGTTCTGCCCCAGCTCCGGATTCCCGAGGATATAGACACACACCAATGGTCCTTATCAAATTTATTAAGTAGCAAGAATAAACCAAAGTCTGGCAAAGGTTGGCAACCAGTTACAATAAGACTTTTCCAAAAATGCTCTGATGATAATTACAAGTTGTTTCCAGCAAGAAACTTACTAAAGGCGTGTGACTTAAATAGGCTAAGGGAGTGGCCAATTATCCTTAAGCCTTACTCTCAAGGAGACCTCCTCCTCCTGAGTAGCCACTCCTGCCTTTTGGCAGCCCTGCGTGCTCAAGCATTGAGAAGAGGCTCCTCCACTTCACTCTCTCCACTTGAAGGAGCCTCTGGAGGTTCTGAAGGCCCTGGCTGAGTCTCTGCCTCTGGCACCACATCCTCTTCAGCCTCCTTGCTGTCCAATGTGAGTGCTGGCTGCGCAGGCTGCTGGCGTAACACCACACCAGCCTGCTCGTCGTTGGGATTAGCCACGATCCATGCAGGCTGCTGGCAGGCCACAACACAAGCTCAGAGAGAATGAAGGACCCCACAATGCAAAAAGTTCAGTTTTCCCACCCTTTGGAGTCTCTCTCTCTCTCTCTCTCTCTCTCTCTCTCTCTCTCTCTCTCTCTCTCTCTCTCTGTGTGTGTGTGTGTGTGTGTGTGTGTGTGTGTGTGTGTGTGTGTTTGCCACCTCTTAATTATAGATTCTTAAATGGTTAGCAGTCTGTTGGAATGCAACATACCAACTGTAAATTAAGACACACATTATAATTATAATCTTCTCCCCTTTTAAATATAAATTTTAAATACAAATTTTAATCTGTTTAAATTATGGGGTATTTTAAATTCAGCCAAATTATTTAATTTGTTTTTAATCTATTTTAAATTTTTGTATCTCTGTGTTTTATCTTCTGGATGTTCACCGCCCTGAGTCCTTCGGGAGAAGGGCGGTATAGAAATTAATTAATTAATTAATTAATTAATTAATTAATTAAATAAATAAATAAATAAATAAATAAATAAATAAATTTAGGAACAAATAAATTCAGTTTAAAATAAAGAGACAAAAACTAAACATCATATAGACTGAAAACCGTAATTATTTTTATTGGGCATACATACAAGAAATTATAATAAAGAAATACAACATCTAATTCTACATATTATAACTGCAGCTAGGATAACCTATGCACAAAATTGGAAAAATAACATCATACCAAAAGATGAAGAGGTGATAAGGAAAATTTTGGACTGTGCGGAGATGGATAAATTGACGAAAGAAATAAAAGAAAAAGATGAAACAGAATACTACTTAATATGGAATAAATGGTATAAATGGTTGGAGGACAGGAATAATAAATAAGATGAAATGCACAATGTATGCAAAGTAATATATAGATATAATAGAAATGTATAAATAAGTAAGAAGTAGTATAGATAATATGTAAGAAATAAGGGAACCACATTTACAAATATGTGAATATGAAGGGGGGAAAATACAAATTGTGATTATACACTGATACGGAATTGTTGTAAAATGGAAACATTTTTCCTTTTCCTTTTGTTCTTGTTTGTGTTTTTTAAAGGAAAAAAAAACAACAAAACTATTTTTAAAAAAATAAAATAAAATAAAATAAAGAGACAAAAACAAGAGAATAAAACCAACACTTTACTTCCAACATTCAAGGAGGGAAAAAAAAAGATCTTAACAAGCCCTTAAAAGATGTCTCACAAAGTTCCAGTGATTGTGCTTCAGTGTTACTTTTACACCTTGGTCTGGTGAGCTGGACTCTCCACCAACTCCTGCTTCAAATTGAAAGCAAACACATTCATTTCATTGTGTAAATATCTAGGCAACCCTGGTTTGAACAATATTTAAGGCTAACCACCTTAAATCCTAGTTTCAGGCCTATTGAACAAACATGGTTTGTTAAAAATAGAAGCAAAAGTTTCTTATTTCCTGTTGATGGATACATGAAGAGAGAAATGAAAGGCTCATAGAAAGGAAACATTTGAGACTGTAGGAATCACCCTTTTTGCAGTAAGATCTCCAGGGGTGGGATTCATCCGGCTCGGACTGGTTTAGGCGAACTGAATGTTAATTTTAATCTGGTTTGCCAAAGCGGTTGTTCCAAGGACTGGCTGAACCCCACCCATCCCATCCTGCCCCTCCCAGGAGTCTCCACGCGGCCCATTTTGGATGCCAGGTAAGTGCAGGGCATGTCCAGAGGCTCTGGGAGGGTGAAAAATGGGCCTACCAGAAGTACCTACCAGAAGTACCTACCAGAGGGCCTCCAGAGCCTGTGAGAGGCTGTTTTCACCCTCCTGGAGGCTCGAGGAAAGCCATGATGCAGGAGGTCAAGTAGGCCACACCCCCATGGCCACACCCACCCAGCAACTGGGCAGCGAACCGATTGCTGAAATTTTTCAATCCCATCCCTGAGGATCTCCAATAGATGCCATTCACTTTCTGTTTAAACATCTCCACTGAAAGCAAAACCTATTAGGAAGAAATTTTGAAGAATTTTCCAGGTTACATTATCAGAAGGGCTAAAACTCTTCTTTTTTTTCTTTACATTGTTTGGTTTGCTTTTGGCATAACCTTATTTTTTCTGATCTTTCTGGGGCCGTCTTAATTCTCCCAGATACTTTATTCACTGAAATATTCATTGCATTTGAAGTTTAAATATGAGTATTGACATTGTAAATGATTTAATTAATTTAAATTAAATATATTCTCTGTTTTCAGGTTGAGGTTATGATTATTTTTTAATCTTTTTATCTTTTATTTGTACACCGTTCAGAGTCCCTCTGTGGGACTAGATGGCTGAAATAATAACTAATTAAATAAATAATTTATATATATATATATATATATATATATATATATATATATATAGTTATGTATGTATGTATGTATGTATGTATGTATGTATGTATGTATGTATATATTTCCCTTTTATTTTATACCAATTGTTTGTTTTCCTTCCTTTTTTCTTTCAATACTTCAGGATACTAAAGTGGAGTGCAGCTCTTGTGTAGAAACAGTGGACAGAAAAGTAAGTCCCTCATTCTAATAGCATTTTCTTGGTATATATTATTTTAAATGTTTTTTTTTTTTTAATGAAAATTGCTGCTGTTTTTTTAAAAAAATATTTCTGGAACTCATGACTGTAAATGGGTCATCTTTTAAGTAGTTAACACAGAATGTATAAATATAGAGGCTTTTATTTATATAAAACCAAGACATTTGTGCATTTGGATCGAGTGTAATTGTAAAAATTGATTCGTAAGAACTATTACTTAGCCGTGGTAGTGCAGTGGTTAGGAGGCAGTACTGCAGGGCCAACTCACTGCTCACTCCAGGAGTTTGATTCTGAGTGGCTCAAGGTTGACTCAGCCTTCCATCCTTCTGAGGTTGGTCAATTGAGGACTCAGATTGTTGGGGACAATATGCTGACTCTGTAAATCGCTTAGAGAGGGCTGTAAAAGGACTGTGAAGCAGTACAGAAGTCTAAATGCTATTGTTAGTGATATTGCTATTATGTCTTGAACTTTGATTCTTTAGTTTGAACATAAAATTATTGTTGTTTATTTCTATGACACACTGGAGAATAGTTCTATCAATATTACAGTGGCAGATAACCTCACAATTGATGACAATAGATAGATAGATAGATAGATAGATAGATAGATAGATAGATAGATAGAAGAAAGATCGGTGGGTGGGTGGATGGATGGATGGATGGATGGACAGGCAATCAGGCAGGCAGTCATAGACATAGACATAGATGGATGGATGGATGGATGGACAGGGCAATCAGGCAGGCAGTCATAGACATAGACATAGATGGATGGATGGGTGGGTGGGTGGGTGGATGGATGGACAGGCAATCAGGCAGGCAGTCATAAACATAGATGGATGGATGGATGGATGGGTGGGTGGGTGGGTGGGTGGATGGATGGACAGGCAATCAGGCAGGCAGACATAGACGTAGACGTAGACGTAGACGTAGACGTAGACGTAGACGTAGATATAGATATAGATGGATGGATGGATGGAAGGATGGATGGGTTGTATAGTTGGACAGATAGAAAGACAACCAGGTCTATTTTCTAAAAAAAAAAAAAAAATTGGTTTTTCTCTATGTACTACTTTTTCACATATGGATTTCTTTCTCTCTTCCCTTCCTAGAACTCTTTCTAAATAACTTCATTGAATCTATATTTATCTACTATGTGCATAATTTCACTTTTCAGTCTCTTGCAGAAGAGGGGTTTTTTTTACCCATATTGTCTCTCTGAATATTTTTTTATTATTATTATTTTGGATCTCTTAAACTTTGATTGCACAACTATCTGAACGTGTTTTGTCTAAACATGGTTGGTGTGGAAATTTAGGTTATATTGCTAACGACAGTTAGTTTCCAAGTTTGTGGGTTAACTGTCTGGAAGTTTAGTATAGGAGTAAGGACTTGTGTTGGTTATAGAATTGATGCCATTACTATATATCTGAATGTCCATGGAGATTCTCTGTCATCCAGGTCATGGTTGTCCCCAAGGAGCTTTTTCAAGAAGCAACAGGACTTTCTAGGTTTTTTTTGAAGACGATTCACTTCTCATCCAAGAAACATCTTCAAAGAAAAACCAGAAAGTCCAATTGCTTCTTGAAAAAGCACCTTTGGGATACTGTATATCTGTTTGGAGAAATTTAATCAGGATGACCTTGGTGCACCTCGCAGGAAGTATTACCAACCCATGTAGGTCCCACAAAAATGCCAATAGCATCTTGAAGAAGTACCGTTGTGCCTGTGATGTAACATCATTCAAAGACATCATGGGAAACTGAAATTGCCTGCAGATTTTTCTTTTACTCTGGAAGAACAACAGTTGCCCAAGGATTCGAATACAAATCTCACTTCTTTAGTACTACTATATGGTACTACTATAACACACACACATTTAACATAAAAGTATGTACCATTTTCGGAATCAAATTGTGCCTATGGGAATGGACGCTGTTGATGTATCTAATGGAGGTAGTAAATTTCTGTAACTAACTATCTGTTGAAGTTCTATACCTGTCCTGTTTGGTGGCTGTACCAAACCAGACAGAGGGAGAATGAATGGAAAAACAGGTCCCGGAGAAGCTTATTTTCATGGTGATAAGTCCTCATATCTGGTTTGGACCTAGGAAGGGAGAGTTCGGCCCAAAGAAGTAATTTCACAATGATATGACCGAATGGGTGGCATTATTAATGTACATGTAACTAGTTTGGGACGTTCATGAGCTGAAAATGATGTTCACCCCAAAAAATTGACATTCCTTGCTTTCATGCAGAGTCAAGAAGAATCTGCATTTCTTCCCCTCCCCTTTCCTCTCCTCCCTTCCCTTTCATTCCTCCCTCCCTCCCTCCCTCCCCTCCCTCCTATATCATCTCAATTTCCTTCCTTCCTTCCTTCCTTCCTTCCTTCCTTCCTTCCTTCCTTCCTCCCTCCCTCCCTCCCTCCCTTCTTCCCTCCCTCCTTCCTTCATCCCTCCCTCCTATATCATCTCAATTTCCTTCCTTCCTTCCTTCCTCCCTTCCTTCCTTCCTTCCTTCCTTCCTTCATCCCTCCCTCCTATATCATCTCAATTTCCTTCCTTCCTTCTTTCCTCCCTCCCTCCCTTCCCTTATCACTGCCTCCCTCTTCCCTCTTCCCTTTTCCCTTTCCTCTTCTCTTTTTGTGCAACAATATAGTGAGACTATTTCCAATTCTCATTTCTTTCGTCTCTGATCAGCAGTTTTTCTGCCTTTTATAGCTGCAGTAAAATTTGCCAGATATGACAGTAGAACATATTCTTTCTTCTACATTTTTTTTCTTTTTGTTAAATGCAATTTTCATTTCTCAGAGGTGATCAAGCGGGGTGTGGGTAGGGGGAAGAAATTATCTCATTGCAGCCAATTCCTTTCTCGTGATGAAACTTTTCTAAAGTAAGCCATCTATCTTTAGTAGTTCCACAGCTGCTTGGAATCCATTATTTTTTAAACTCTCCTTCTCTTTCTGCCATTTTTTCCCCCCAGCCTTTTTAATCCAAAGCACAGCATCTGTACAAAATCATTAACGAAGATGTTTACTGTACTACATAATTCAGCCCCTCAGTTTTTGTGAAAATTTTAAGCAGGAGACACGGAGACAAAATTGCTTTTGGGCCTTGAATTTTCTGACAAGCATTCAGCAATGTACAATTTGGCCATTGTACAATTTGTGCAATTGGCTTTGGATGGCCTGAAGCCCAGCCTGATATCTTTCTCTAGGATGGATAGAGAGGGATGTCTTTAGACAAAAGGAGCCTTGCAGTTAAATTGATATGAAAAGGGAAATTCCATCACGATTCTTTAACATCAGTTGAATTAGAGAAGAAGCCTTACATTAAGGTCTCATTTCTGGAAGATTTCAAAATATGTCCTGCTGTTTCGTAAAGTCTTAAAAATTGTTTCTGAAATGGCTTTTGGTACTTTCTTCCACATCCTTGATTGAAACTTTGATTAGACGGTGTGATACTTTATGAGAACGAAGTTGCTCCAGGGTTCACCCAGAAAAAGAGAAAAGAAAGGAAGGAAGGAAGGAAGGAAGGAAGGAAGGAAGGAAGGAAGGAAGAGGAAGGAGGAAGGAAGGAAAGAAAGAAGGAAGGAAAGAAGAAAGAAAGAAGAAAGAAAGAAAGAAAAGAAGGAAAGAAAGAAGAAAGAAAAAGAAAGAAAGAAAGAAAGAAAGAAAGAAAGAAAGAAAGAAAGAAATGTTTTGGTCTTAGAACCAGAGGATGCAATCCAGGAAGAACAAAGCACATATACCATATTTTTCGGAGTATAAGACATACCTTCCCCCCCCCCAAAGAGGCTAAAACTTTGGGTGCATCTTATACTCTGAATGTAGCTTTTTCAAAGCTTTTTTCCAGCCCTAACGAGGCACTAATGAGGTGCTAGCGAGTGAAGCGATCTCCATGCTTTGCTCCAACTCTCAGCTGTTCTTTAGAAGCTTTTTTTTCAGCCCTAACTAGGCGCTAGCCGAGTGAAGCAATCTCCCCCCATGCTTTGCCTGCTTTTCTCATTGCTCCTTCCTCTCAGCTGTGCCTTAGAAGCTGTTTTATCCCCTAGCAGGGGATAAAAAACCAGCAAACTAATGTGCTGAAACTGACCAGACTAAGGATGCAGATTTTTTTTTCCTATTTTCCTCCCCCAAAACTAAGCTGTGTCTTATACTCCAGTGCGTCTTATACTATGAAAAATATGATAAGTTCTCCCTGATTTCAATTGCAAAGTGTCAACTGTTCCATTGGCATATGCAGAAAAAGAAACTGCTGGGACATAATTTTACCAAGACTTTACTGTAACTTTACTGTAACTTTACTGATAGATCCATATAGGCAAAGAGAAGTAAAGGTTCCCACAGAAAGCACCCTTTTCCCCTTTATCTGAAAAGTTTAGGTGAAAAGTTTAGGAGAGCTAAACTTTGATGACCTGATATAATTATTAAAGTGGATTATATGATTTCTATCAATTCGGACAAGCTTAATTTTATTTCTGGAACAAATAAGTACCCAGAATTTGCCTCCCAGAAATTATTTCTTCTGGTACAGATAGTTAAGTTTCTAGATCATTTTAGTATAATGGGGGCGGGGGGGCCCTGGAAATATTATGCTATTATTTGCTTAATTATTTCTATTTTCACTATTTTATAACTGATGTAATATCTACTGTAATTGTCACTGTATTTAGTGCCTTACTATACATATTATCATATATTTGCTGTACATTGCATTATATTGTATTTTAGTGCAATTTCTACAATACACAATTTTATCGTTCAATAATAATGATAGTATTGTAATATCCAGACAATAGTATAATACTATAATACTATAATACAATTCTATAATATAATAGTATAATAGAACTGAGGTGGCGCTGTGGTTAGAGTGCAGTACTGCAGGCTGCTTCAGCTGACTGCTAGCTGCAGTTCGGCAGTTCAAATGTCCTTCCTTCCTTCCTTCCTTCCTTCCTTCCTTCCTTCCTTCCTT